ATGATGATAGCGCTGAAAAGTCAGAGACTACACAGATACATGTGGAAAAAGAGTTTGAACAAGGAGATTCTTCTGAAGCAGAACCAGCACTTGATGAAAAAGAACCAGCACTTGATGAACAAGAACTAGAGAGTTCTGAAGCTCCAACAACTCGTCAATCAGATCGTGTAAGAAGACGTCCCAATTGGCACTCAGATTATGTTATAGAAGGAAATATTGCATACTGCCTTTTAACAGAGGACGGTGAGCCATCAACATACCAAGAGGCAATAAACAGTTCAGATGCTTCACTGTGAATGATGGCGATGCAAGAAGAAATTGAAGCCCTTCATAAAAATAATACATGGGACCTTATGTCACTACCACAAGGAAGGAACCAATTGATAACAAATGGGTCTTCAAAATCAAGAGAAATGGTGACGATCAAGTTGAGAGGTATCATGCAAGACTGGTGGTCAAAGGATATACTCAAAAAGAATGTATTGATTTCAATGAAATCTTTTCTCCTGTGGTTCGACTAACAACAGTTCAAGTAGTTTTGGCAATGTGTGCTACAATGAACTTACATCTAGTGCAGCTAGATGTTAAAACAGCTTTTCTTCATGGAAATCTTGAAGAAGAGATTTACATACTCCAGCCTGAAGGTTTTGAAGAAAAAGAAAAGAAGAACTTGGTTTGCAGGTTAAACAAATCTATGTACGGTTTAAAGCATGCGTAGAGGTGTTAGTATAAGAGATTTGATTCCTTCATTATGTTCCTTGGATACAACAGACTTAATGCAGACCCTTGTGTTTATTTCAAGAGGTTTGGTGATAACGATTTTGTTATATTGCTGTTGTATGTGGATGACATGTTGGTTGTAGGACCCAACAAAGATCATATTGAAGAATTGAAAGCACAACTGGCTAGGGAATTTGAAATGAAGGACTTGGGATCAGCAAACAAGATTCTGGGGATGCAATTCACCAAGATAGAAGTAATAGGAAGATTTGGCTTTCACAAAAGAATTAATTGAAGAAAATCTTGTCACGATTTAACATGCAAGATTGTAAGCCAATTTCTACCCCTCTTCCTATTAACTTCAAATTATCCTCCAACATAAGTCCTAGCAGTGAAAAAGAGAGGATGAAGATGTCTCGAGTGTCGTATGCATCAGCAGTGGGAAGTTTAATGTTCGCTATGATATGCACAAGACCATACATTGCACAAGCAATGGGAGTGGTTAGTCGTTACATGGCGAATCCAGGAAAAGAGCATTGGAATACAGTAAAGAGGATCCTGAGATACATCAAAGGGACCTCAAATGTTGCATTATATTACGGAGGATCAAATTTACTTATCAATGGGTATGTCGATTCTGACTATGCAAGGGATTTGGATAAAAGCAAATCTACTACAGGATATGTGTTCAAAGTTAGTGGTGGAGCTGTAAGCTGGGTTTCAAAATTGTAATCAGTTGTGCTACATCCACAACATAGGTAGAATATGTAGCAGCTACACAAGCCAGTAAAGAAGCAATTTGGTTGAAGGTGCTATTGGAGGAGCTTGGGCACAATCAAGAATATGTCTCTTTGTTTTGTGACAGTCAAAGCGCCTTGCATCTAGCAAGGAATCCAACATTTCATTCAAGGACAAAGCACATACGAGTTCAGTACCATTTTATTCGTGAAAAGGTGGAAGAAGGGACAGTAGATATGTAGAAGATCCATACCAAAGACAACATAGTAGATTTCATGACGAAGGCGATCAATGTTGATAAATTTACTTGGTGTCGATCCTCTTGTGACCTGTCAGAAACGTAAGCAACATGAAGTTACAAGGTAGAAAGAATGGTGTGAAGATATGATTGTTCCAATCAAATCTTCAAGTGGAGATTGTTGAAAATTGGACCATTCCTCCGAAAGGTGGGAAAATATATATATATATATATATATATATATATATATATATATTCTAAATATATATATAATTCCACCAAAAGATTAAAAGGTGCAATGATCAAAATTCAAGCTTGAAAATGTTGAATTTTGAAATGGTAAAATCACAAACTTTAGTCCCTAGACTGTAGGGTATTTATAAGATTAGTCCTTAAGCTTCAATTATAAATACTCTAGCTCATTTAGCTTCAAAACCATCCCAAATCATTCTAGCTTTCTCCCAATACTAGAGAATTTAGAGAGTTTCTTGAGATTTGTTTTCTACTTTTTTATCAAGAGAGAATTGTTATTGTTTTCTTCTTGTTAGATCGAGAGAAGTTGTAATTCTTATTTTTCTCATAGTAAAATTCTTCTACTTTTGCCCGTGGTTTTTACCTTATATTATTTAGGGGTTTTCCACGTAAATTTTGTGTCTTTTTTATCTTCATTTTTATTTTCTCAAATTATCAGTTGCGATTTTGCTATATCCGATAACCGTATTCCGCAACAGGTTGTTCTATCGAACTTGCCGCTATACTACTTACCATTATTTCGGATCCCTTCCTGTGTGTCAGGGAAAGTCAATAAAATGATTGCAAGTTTTATCTGGGGTACCAACAAAGACAAAGGCATCCATTGGGTGAAATGCGAGATGGTGTGTAAGCTTAAGGCGGTAGGTTTTGTTGATATAACAATTAAAAATCAGGCGCTCCTAAACATGTGGCTTTGGAGGTATGGAATAGAAAAAAAAAGTGTGCATGGAGGAAAGTTATCGCTTCAAAATATGGTTACGATCAATCTTCATTGGTTCCGAGGATGGTGAATCCGAAACAATCATCCTGGGTTTGGAGAAGCATATCGAAACCGATCATTACTGAAGATGACATATTCACCCAAAATCTTAGGTGTGTAGTAGGCGATGGAAGCTCCATCGAATTTTAGGAGGATTATTAGACTGTTTTGCCATCTCTAAGAGTGGCCTTTTTGAGAATTTTTGCGATTGCCATCCAAAAGACTCGGTAAGATTACCGAATTTGGTTCAGTTGTTAATGGTACTTGGAGGTGGAACATAGAGATCCGAAGGGCGTTGTTTGAGTGGGAACGTAGAATATGGGATGAATTTATAAATATTATCTCCATGGCAGCTAGAGGATTGTGTAGCCAAGATCGTCTAGTCTGGAAGGAATCAGCGTGTGGGTCCTATTTGCCTAAGAGCTTCTACATTAGAGTAGTTAACAATGGAGAGCAGAAGGAGAAAATATGGAAAGTGGTGTGGGCCAATATTGCTCCGCCAAAGGTGGAGGCCTTCGTGTGGAGAGCTGTCTATTCAAGAATCCCAGTGCTAGCGGAGTTAGCTAAACGCGTAGTTGTGAACTTGGAGTCTCTTCTTTGTGTGCTCTGTCGTGAGGAGCCGGAATCTGTGGACTATTTGTTCTGCCATTACAAGGTGACCTGGCTTATATGGTAAAGATGGTGTTGATTCCGGAACATCAAGTTCGTAGCGCCAGGTAATGTAAAAAGCTTGCTCTATGGGTGGGATAGCCAAACGACCAAAAATCAGTTAAACCAATATGAAAAATGGCTTGCTTTGGGATTATGTGGTCTGTTTGGGTCCATAGAAACGATATTATCTTCAATAAAACAGTTTGTTGTGAAAATAAATTGTTTGATCTGGCTTTGTTGATGATTAGCTCTTGGTGCCACAGTAAATGGCCTTCATCTATACCAAACATTTTAGATTTTACGCGTTGCCCGAGCTTGATTGAACTGAGGCATGAATAGCAAAGTGTGGATGTTACGCTCTGCTCGGTTTATGTGTTTGGTTGAACTGTGACTGATGTCAGGATTTTGAGTAAGAAATAGAAGAGTCCGATTTTCGTGGCCTCAGAGTTGTTTTTCGTGAGTACATATATGGCTGCCGTTATGTGTACCAAAAGTTAAGGTGGCTTGAGCAGGATCTTGTAAAGCACCGGAGCAGTCGATCTCGATGGAAATGTAGAAGTTTGTGATTGAGACATACCCAGTTCAGTTGGTAGAGCGTAAGGCTTTTAATCTTGTGTCGTGGGATCGAGTCCTACGGTGGACAATTCATAATTCTGACTGCCAGAGGTCTTCTACGGAAGTTGCTCTCAACCTGACGTTGGGAGCAGCCTACTATCCTACCTCCCCTCACCCCCATTACATATGGGATCGATCGTGTAGAATTAATGTTGATTTTGGAAAACGATTCTTACTCCTCTCCCATAGACATGGTACACTCTTTTTCTCCCAATTAAATTTAGGGGATTTTTTAACGAGATCTATGTTTATATAGCGTTTTATGCATTCTTTAATTTATAATATAAAATGTATTTTAAAAAAAAACAAACAAAAACAAAACAGTAGAGTGTGAACAAGAAGTCCAAATGCCTCACGTGTGTACCAGGGTCCACACATAACCGTCTAAATGTTTATTTTTATCCTTAGAAAGGTTCGAAAAAGATATTGAATGATTTAGCAATAAAATAAAATGTTTTTCCTTATAAATTTTAGACTTAAATAATTATAAATATATTGTTAATAGTTAATTTTTTAATATATATATTATTTTATAATCAATTCAAACTATTACACATAACTGTTTAAATGGTTATTTTTTCTTTAGAAAGGTTCGAGACAATTATTAAATGACCTCAATAATAAAATAAAATATTTTTTTATAAATTTTAAATTAAATAATTATAAGTATATATTGTAAAATTATTTTTTTAATATATAGTATCTTATAATCAATTTAAACCATCCACAAAAACATCAAACAATTAAAAGTTGAGGGTTAAACGCTTTCTGCCTCTCTTTATTACATAAATTTAAGAAAGGAAGTAAAGGCAAAAAGTATAAACCGATTCCCTCGTAAATAGTCGACACCTGTGAAGCAATCTGATTCCTCATTTGCACGCCCCCAAACTAACAGTGACATCTCTTGGTCATAAAAGGAAGCTTGAAATTGAAAGCTGAATCTCTCACTCTTCTTCTCCCCCCACAGTTTTAAAAAACCCACAAATTCTTTCGATCTCTTCTTCCTTTTCTTTCTGTTCAAGACTCATGGGGGACTTCTCGTCTTGCAAAGAGGCAGACATGTTAACTCCTTTGAACTCAACAGAACACATACAGGACATGAGTTCAGAAAAGACCTGTCTGTCTGTGGTAACTGATGAATTCAAATGCATAGCCAAAATAGCTCTTCCGTTGGTGCTGACGGGTCTTTTGCTCTACTCTCGATCGATGATTTCCATGATGTTTCTCGGCCGGCTAGGGGAGTTGGCTTTAGCCGGTGGATCACTTGCTATTGGATTTGCAAACATCACTGGCTACTCGGTTCTCTCTGGCCTTTCCATGGGGATGGAACCCATCTGTGGTCAAGCTTTTGGTGCTAAAAGATACAAAATCCTTGGCCTCGCCATGCAGAAAATGATCTTGTTGCTTCTTTCAACTTCAATCATCATTGCTTCTTTGTGGTTGAACATGAAAAATATACTTCTCCTTTTTCGACAAGATGTAAACATCGCCAATGAAGCTCGAGTCTACATTCTTTATTCTCTTCCAGACCTTGTTGCACAATCTGTTTTACATCCTTTACGTGCATATTTGAGGACTCAGTCTATAACTCTGCCTCTCACATGCTGTTCAGCAGTGGCAATTCTTCTCCACATCCCCATAAACTACCTTCTTGTCTCTGTGCTCAACCTTGGCATCAAGGGTGTTGCTTTAGGCTCCGTTTGGACCAACATAAATCTCGTCGCTTTGTTGATTATTTACGTGAAAATCTCAGGCGTTTACAAGAAAACATGGGACGGAATTTCCTCAGAGTGCTTGAAAGGATGGAAATATTTATTGGAGTTATCCATTCCCAGCTGCTTTTCGGTTTGCCTGGAATGGTGGTGGTATGAGATCATGATTTTATTATGTGGATTGTTGTTGAACCCTCAAGCAACCATTGCTTCAATGGGGATTTTGATTCAAACAACATCATTGATATACATTTTCCCATCTTCCTTGAGCTTTGGTGTGTCAACTAGAGTTGGGAATGAACTTGGAGCTGACAATCCAAACAAGGCAAAACTGGCTGCAATCATAGGCCTCTCATCGAGCTGGGTACTCGGGATCTTGGCGTCGGTTTTTGCTATATTGGTTCGAAAGAAATGGGCCACCATGTTCACTGAAGACCCGAAAATCATCGCCTTAACGACGATGGTTTTGCCGATACTCGGGCTGTGTGAGCTCGGAAACTGCCCACAAACAACAGTGTGTGGAGTTTTAAGAGGGACGGCGAGACCGAAATTGGGAGCAAAAATCAACCTGCGATGTTTTTACCTTATAGGCATGCCGATTGCACTGTGCTTGAGTTTCTTTGCAGGGTTTGATTTCAAAGGTCTTTGGGTGGGCCTTGTATTCGCACAAGGCTCGTGTATGGTGGCCATGTTGTTCACCGTGGCTCGAACCGATTGGGATTATGAAGCCTGGAGGGCGCAACAACTCACCACAGCCATCGCATTTGATGGTGATGATGAAGTTGATTCTTCTGTCTCTAAAGAATCTTGTTTTGGGTTATTACATGACGTGAACCAAAACGACTTACTTGTCTGATTTGGAACAGCAGGGCAAACTGCAGAGGTTAATTTTTCTAGCCATTTGTTCTTTTTATCAGCATAGAAACTTTCTTTGTTTTGCGCATTAGTTTTGTTGGTTCCGGAATGGAAAAACAGATGAACAGAACATAGATTTTGCGGGTCGGGAAATGTTTTTGTTTTGAATTTGGAAATATGCAATGCGTTGCGCTTTCGCCGTAACAATTTCCTCAATCAGCATCGTACGACTTCATGTTTGAAAATGACAACGTACGATTTAGTCTGGTCATTATGATTTGAACCCCGTTTATCATATGGGTAGAAACCGGCTTTTGAGTCGGTTGATTGGATTCAGACGTGAGGTGGTCACCATTTGCTGCTGCCTACCCTCAATTGGATTTGTCAAACACAAAACAATCAAATAACACATAATCCATATAAGGGGTATAAAAAACTTGTACAAATTCAGTATTATCGGGTTCATAATATTAAATTAAGAGTGTGATTTGTTTCTAAAAAATCTTACAAATCAATGTTATTTGTTCATAATACTAAATTACGGTTGTGGTGTTTATCGCCGATGTGATTTTAGTGTTGTAGTTGTAAATACTGCATACGTTACATAACGTGTAACTGTAATTATGAGTGTGATTTTCAAAAAAAAATGTACAAGTTCAATGTTATATGATTTATAATATTAAATTATAGTTACAATATTTGTCACGAAAGTAATTACAATATCGCGATTGTGGATACTACAGACGTTACATAATGTGTAACGGTTGTTACGTGTGTGAATTGTTTTTAAAGAAAATTGTACAAATTTAATGTTTTCTTATTCATAATATTAAACAACGGTTACGATATTTGTCACGAATACTACAAACGTTACGTTACATAACATGTAACGGTTGTGAATACTACAAACGTTACATAACATGTAACGGTTGTTACGAGTGTGATTTATTTCTAAAAAATTGTGCAAATTCAATATTTTTTATTCATAATATTAAATTACGGTTACGGTGTCTGTCACGGTTGTGATTACAATATCGCTACTATGGATACTAAAGACGTTAGATAATGCATAACGGTCATTATGAGTGATTTTGTTTCTAAAAAATTGTACAAATACAAAGTTATCTTATTCATAATATTTATAAATTACGATTACAGTGTCTGTCACAAATGTGATTACAATATCACAATTGTGAATATTGCAGACGTTACATAATGTGTAACGGTCATTACGAGAATGATTTGTTTCTAAAAAAATTGTATAAATTCAATGTTTTCTGATTCATAATATTAAATTACGTTGTCACAGATGTGATTACAATATCGCGATTGTGGATCCTACAAACGTTTCATAACGCGTAACGGTCGTTACGAGTGTGATTTATCTCTAAAAAACATTATTTTTAAAATATTATGTTTATATATCTTACAATTATATTTTAATATTCTAATATTAATATACTCTTTTATGTGTTTTATTTTATTAAAATATATTTCTCTATATAAAAATCCATTGAAAATAAATAATCTTATATTAAAAACATATAAATATTCTTATATGTTAACATGAAAAAATTATTTTACATAACATATAAAAATACATAAATATAAATATAAAAACTCATTTTTTTTATAATTTACAACCAAATGTTCAACAACAATTTTTTTTTCTTTAGCCTTTATGGCTGTTTATATAACGAGGACTGTGTTAAAAAATATTATTCTTTCACTTGGATTATATTTTTTTAAAGTTGATATTTTTTTGGTTTATGAATGTATGTAAAATCGCTACAGTTTTGTGTTATTCATCCATCAAGATACAAAGTTTAAAGGCTATCTAAACTAAGATAAATATATTTTATAAATTTATGATTGTATATTGATTTTATTTATGTAAATTCTGAATTTTTTATGTTTAATTTGTTGTTGTTGATTATATTATTGTATTGTTCATTGATTATGATAATTTAGGTGATAGTGTATCGCACCCTCGATTAATTTATCTAAAAGGGAGGTAAAACTTCAACGGCGATGACTCAGGTGATAATTTATTTTTGTATACTCTTAGGATTTTTTTAATATTTATTATTAGAGGCCCCATTTTTAGATTCGTCTTGGGCCACTAAAATCTCATAAACGGCCCTGATTACAAGGAGATAACATATTTTTATTTCTTTGTCTTGATTTGATTCCTTCTCATTTCATGTGAAAAAATATATTATTATATGCACCATAAAATGCATAATTGGTAGGAAGCATGTAGTACGATAAATGACAATGAAAAAAATTCATAGCTTGAGGTGGATAATATATATTTGATTGGGGATTGATTTAATGGTGCACGATAATATTTTTCTCTCGGTGCATGTTAGTTGGTCTAATGCGGATTGAGGCTTTGGTTTATTTGATATTTGATTTTTGTATTTCGGTGTTTGTGTGGTGTTATTCAGGTGGGCTATGTCGAATGCTTCGACTGATACAATGACATATTAGAGGAAGTTTTTTGCAATGACCAGAATTTAGAATTCTTTCCTTCGTTGGTTATTGAGGGTTCAATTACGATGAAACCTCCAACTGAGGTGTTTAAAGATGAGATTTCAAATGGCCTTATGCTTTGGTTGGTCAATTCACCAGGACAACCCCAAATGTTAGTGTAATGTAGAAGATCATCGATCTCTTGTGGGGTAAATCTTTGCCTATTCAGGTCAGTATGGCTGGGCACAATTAGTTGAATTGAATTTTGACCATAAATCTGAAAGATGTCCTTCATCTTTACCGTCGGCCTGTCATTTGCTTCACCAGAAATGAGGTTGTCGCCTGCAAAGAGAATGTGGGTAACCAATGGAGCATCTTTTTTTATCGACACACCTTTCAGTCTCCCGAAGCTAGCAAATTGTTGGATAAGCGATGGAAAACCTTCACTACAAATAAAGAACAAATAGGGATATAAGGGATCTCCTATCTAAGTCCTCGTTGAGGCCAGAATACCTCCCCCGCACTTCCATTCATTATAATAGAACAGGAAACCAAACTCACACATCGTTAAAGAATCTCAATCCATTATTTTGCAAAAACGATTTGATCCTTGGCATTCCATAGAAAACAACACTCCACCTAATCATAAGCCTTGCTCATATCCAACTTGATCGTAAAATCGCCCACTCGGCCCATACGCTTGTTAACAAAAGAGTACAGAAGTTCATAAGCTGAGATAACATTGCTTGTAATATGCCGACCAGGGGTAAACGCACTCTGTGTTTCATCGATACAAATGTTCAACAAGCTTTGCATCTGTGTCGCCAATATCTTGGAAACACTTTTAAACAGCACATTGTAAAATCTAATTGGACGATACTAGGATAAAGTCGAAGGAGATTGTACCTTTGAGATTAACACTATATGAGTCAGACTTATTGAAGACATATCATAATGGCCCTTTATCAAACCGATACAATAATGAGTAACCTCAGCACCAATAATGTGCCAAAATCTCTTATAGAAAATAGCACCCGGATAATTCAGACCCGTTGCTTTTAGAGGTCTCGTACTTTTCACAGCTGCGGTCACATCCTCAAATGAAAATTCATCCAGTAGACAATCATTCATTTCAGAGGAAATAGAGGGCACGGTACCATCAAGAACTGAATTGTCCACACCTCTCCCCTGAGAGGAAAACAACTCCTGCAAACTACTTCGGGCTTCAGCCTCAATTGCATCTTCATCTTTCAGTCTACCTCTCGCACTAGTTTCAAGAAAACAAATATGATTCTTCCATTTCCTTTGGGTCGCATATTTGTGAAAAAGGTTGTATTATTATCATCATTTCATAGCCAATTTGCCCTCACTCTCTGCTCTCAATACAACTCCATCTTATAAATCTCAAAATTCATTTGCAACTTAATACCCACAATGCCCCCTAACACATCAGTCGTTGGGTCAGACTCTTCCATATCCATTAAACGCTTTCAGAGGTCTTCAAAACCACCTGTCAAGTCCCTCACGCACACCATCAAATCTATCCAACAAAAACCCCAAAGATTAGTCCCAAAGTCACCTCACCTATTCCTCGCAAGATTCCTCCAAAAGCCGTGAGGATTAGAATTTAAAATTGTCAATATCTTCTATCGCCAATGCTCGACTGAGTGTTTAGGAGCAATGGACAATGATCAGATATTGAGTGAACCAAGTGTCGAAGAGAGAAATTAGAGAAACAATCCAAAAACTAATCATTTGTCACACCTCTATCCGCTGTCATGACCATCAACTTTATCAAGATGACTATCCTCCTAAGCCGCCGTCATAACCACATCCACCAACGATTGCAGACATAGTCTCCTATTGCGTTCAAAATTGACATAACCAATGTCCCCGATCTCAGTTTTTAACGTGGCAAACCTGTTCCAATCCCGGCTCCAACATTAGCATAACCTCCTATGGTCTTTCCATCTCATTCCTCTTCACGTAACCAAGTACTGAACAAAACCTCTTGTTGTCGTAGGGGGCACATAACGAAGCATCCCAATTAAAGGCACTCCTATTTTCTTGTAAAAAACGAATAGGACAAAATCCCTCTCCATGACCCAACTTGACACAGAAAACAAAATAGACTCAGTTTTTCATACTGAAACGAGGCATATGCATGTTGTCCATTCGGCATCGCTAGCTTCTTTTTCCATGTAAGAGGCTGACAAAGATCTATGCACACACAAGCCCTAATGCATCCCCAATAACCCAGCGAAATCACCAAGGTATCATACTCTAAAAACGTCCCTATAAAACTTCATAGCAGTTTTACAACTGTTTCGGAAACAAAAGCAATAGGAAGATCAATGATTCTCACCCAAAAGTAAACAGTATTTAGGGGAACCCGTCGCGGATCCTCTCTCACTCGTAATTTATGCAAAACTAGAAGATGAGAATTAAAGTAAAATGGATCATCCTTATTAATTCTTTTAACATCGACACCATGATATAAGAGAAACAAAAAAACGTCATTCCCCTAATT